TAGAGCAGAACGCTGATCATTTTATTAAAGATGAAAGACTTTAGACAGTTTTTCAACTCTCAGTAATGCCACAGTGATCGTTTATATATGGACCTGCAGCGGAGTTTAGACCCAGACACGGCTAGTGACGTCAGACTGAACAACCGGATAGGAATGTAACCATGTGTGTGTGAGCGTGTGTGTGTGTGAGCGTGTGTGTGTGAGCGTGTGTGTGTGAGCGTGTGTGTGTGTTACAGGACACTGTTATTCCTGCAGGGTGTAGTTGCTGACTCTGACAAAACCAAATCCTAGACTGTGTCAGTGACTGGCAGAGAGATGGGGCAGCTGTCTTCACACAGCTCGGTAGCAGGATAAGAGTAGTGATCAAAGAGAGGCTAGTGGAGAATATATTAAAATAAAGGGGGTGGGGGAGGGGGGTGTCTTAGGGCACGGATGGGGTGGAGTTGAGTAGACTGGAGAGCGAGCGAGGTAGGGGTAGTGTGACAAATAAGGCTGTGAAGGAGTGGACGTGTGGAAAACGAGGCATGCTGCTTGTGCTCGGGGGATTGCCTGCAGCCAGATACAGTATGTGCACAAGTCTCAGTGCAGACACAAGTTTTAATGACCAAAACTCAACTTCAGGACAGAAAACATTCATAGACAACAATGTGTTCTTATCTATACATGAAGAGGATGCCGTTCATAGGTGCAGATTGCAGTACTTGCTTAGGACACTTTGTCAGTGTACAGGTTGAAATGTACAGGTTGAAGTGCCTGAACTCAAAAATTAACACCTCGACTCAAAACCAACTGATAATAATTTTGTGAAACAGTTTTCCTGACTGTAGTTCTTGTGAGAGTAGGGAACAGCTGGAAGACAGCGGCTGCTGTAGGACAAAGATGCTTTAGTTTGTCAAGCGAGAGCCATGAAAACCACTACAACGGGTGTATTTCTACTACTGTTTGGACTGGATCTGATCCTGAGTTTTTCTCCTGGGGCGGATCCAGTCGAAGGTAGGTCCATTTTTAACTCAAATGCTAATAATGAGTGAGAAGCGTCCACCTTGATTTACCTTGGAAGAGGCTGTAAAAGTTTGTGAAAGGGCTCCGATACAGGTCAGGGAGTCAGAGATGTTCACTCCTGTGTACAGTGACGTCTGTACTGAGATGATGTTGGTAAGTGCTGCTGTTAGCCGCTGTTTGCCGCTGTTAGTCGCTATTAGCCTCTGTTAGCCTCTGTTAGCTGCTGTTAGCCTCTGTTAGTGAAACTGCCTTTGAAATCGATGCAACTTTGTTGGACTGTTTAGTGAATAAACTCATATAATGTGTAATCAAACTGTCTATCAGAGGTAAAGCGAGATTTTTAGGACACTTGCACCTAACTAACATTAGCCTATAATCAGCTGTTGCTGTTGTTTAGCCAGCTTGTTGTCAGCTGTCTAGCGATGGATGGACTGTGTGTCTAATCTACTGACAGTTATCGTAGATTAGTCAAGCAGTATTGCAGGTTGTGGCAATACTGGTAATAAATGAGCATGTTTATGAGATGAGGATGACATTTTATTGTCAGTGGTGTTGTCTCTGTTCTTCACACATTCATTTCTTTCATGAGGGGGAGCCCTTGATAAAACATAGGTACAATCCTTCACATCTTAAGTCGGGAGGTGCAGGTATGAATTTTATGGCCCTCTGGAGCACATACATACCTACAGGTTCTCTTCTCCTCCACTGGTGTCTAGCCACATACATTAGATGCCAGGAGTGGGAAGGGAGGTCTCCCTCCTGGGCACTATATTAAAATATAGTGGGGGCACATGGCAGCTTCCACAAACCTGCTCCTGTTAATCAATAATAAGTTTATGAGAATGCATTAGTTTGTTGGAATATGTATTTACACACTATTTTATTTGTTTATTGTTTATTCATAAGTACAGTATCCTTCTCTCGATAGCCAAAAATCTACTGACTGACTGCTGCATACAATGCATTTTTTTAATGTTACATTTATCATCATGAATCAGAAAACGAATGAATCGAGAGCAAGTTTATATGATGAGGCAGAATGTGTTGTTACAGTGGCTCCAAAACCCAAACAGTCCGCCGTGTTCCCGTAACATCCTCTGGTCTTTGTCAAGGATGTTTTTATCCTGCTCAATAATGGATGAACCTGAGCCACAGAGAGGGAGAGCGATCCTCCTCTGGAGCAACGCTGCAGCACTAATGCTTCGGAGTACTCTCAGGCCTGGCCCTCCTCTGTAAAAAGATGTGTACTTTGATCTAAAACGAAAGGAATTTATTTTGATAATCTCTTTCAAAGTATCGTAATAAACACCATTTTTCATCCTTCATTTCTTGGTGTTTTCCCCTCATTTATTCATGTGAAGGGAAAGGATATAATTAGTTACATTTCAGTTCACAAATGCAAAGCACTTGTGAAAAAACCGAGGCTTTAAGTCCCGTCTTCTTTTAGAAGCCTACAGATTGACCCTACACTGATCAGGCTTAACATCATGACTGCTGACAGTTGGTGACATGATGCCTGTTAGTTGGTGGGATATATCAGGGGGGAAGTGAACATTTTGTCCTCAAAGTTGACAAGTTAGAAGCAGGAACACGTATATAATATATATATAATGTTCTTCCTCTACCCCCCCATTTTTGCACATGTCGAGGGGCGTGTCAGGTTACATTTCACTGTGTGTTATACTTGTATAACTATGCATGTGACAAATCAAGAACCTTGAACCTTGAACCTTGTAATAATTGGCAAGCTTCAGGATTTGAGGGAGTTTGACAAGAGCTGAATTGTGATAGCTAGATGACCTGGTCAGAGGATCTCCAAATCAGGCAGTGTGATGCTTTGGTCAATGTTCTGCTGGGAAGCCTGGGGTCCTGCCACTGATGTGGATGTTACTATGACACGTACCACCTACCTAAGCATTGCAGACCATGTACACCCTTTCATGGAAACAATATTGCCTTATGGATGTGGCCTCTTTCAGCAAAGCAAAAAGGGTTCAGGAAGGGTTTGAGGAGCACAACAATGAGCTTGAGGTGTTGAGTTGTCTTCCAAATTCTCCAGTGCTGGAAAAACAAGTCCAATCCATGGAGGCCCCACCTTGCAACTTACAGGACAAGACAATCTTTCACTAAACTCTTGGTACCAGACACCACAGCACACCTTCAGGGGTCTGAAGGAATCGTTTTTTGTTTGTTAAGCCACTTAGAAATAATCTATGAATTATTCAAGTAAAACTACATCAATTTCCTTAGAAAAATAATAATAATATGGGAAAACTGGATATTAGAGTTAATTTCCCTAAGAAACAGGAACAAATTCTTACACCTGAATTAGAATTAGATTTTGCTTCAAATCATCAGTATATATGGAGGAAGTCAGGACTGAGGTACAGCAGTGAGTGCTACAGCCATCTGTGAAACATGGTGGAGGCTCTGTCACGGTGCTCGTTGAAATCAATGAAAGTTTGAACAAACACCGTGTAAAACCATCAGGAGCATCTGATCCAGACCAAAGGAACATAAATGTTGCTAACCAGATGAAGCCACACATGTTCAAAACACCATTTTAATGCACTTTATTTTTGTGTTTGACTTTTTTAAAGAGAATATTAACACACTGAAAAAGCATTGATGAAAGAACCTTTGGGAACAAATGAAAACTTCTAATCAGACAAGCTAACGTGTGTTTTCAGCAGCCGTACAGCAGGTTGATCCTCCTGATGTCCCAGTAGGACATGCCCTGCCTCTGGCCAATCTGGACGTTGGGGTTGGGGATGGGGGTGATGGTTTCCCTGCCATTGATGGAGAAGGCTGTTCTTTCATAGTGCATTATGGAGGAGTAGTCGTAGGGAGTGTTGAGGTTGTTGGTGTCCTGCTTGTCGAAGTTGTAGGCCATCTGTGGGTCGATGTTCTCCCAGTTGATCCTGACGTAGTAGTCGCGGTCGCTCCTGGTCTGCTCGTGCTGGAAGCCCAGAGCGTGGTTGACCTCGTGCTGGACGACGCCAAAGTAGACGCAGCCCTGCCTGTTGAGAGACAGGACCTGCTTCCCTCCCTGTCTGCCCAGAGGAGAGAAGCATCCTTTCTGGCTCTCGATGCTGATGTAGTCGTTCTGGTTCTTACGGTCGACAAAGCGGACACAGGTCTGGCTGTGGAAGGACTGCAAGGCATTTCTGATCAGCTGCCTTTCCCCGCTGCTGTACTCACTGCTGATGGTGAAGGGAACCGTCACCAGGCCGTTGTTGTCTTTCTGCCACAGGCAGCTCTGGTAACTCTGGCATTTAATGGCATTTCTGCTTTTTGGAAGCAGGATGTCTCCTTCCAGCAGGATCTCGTTGCTGCCATTGTTTGCGGTCAGAATCCTGGTGGTGATATCGACGGTGTGGTCTTCCTCCACCTGGCCCTCTCCTCCTCCTCTTTTCTCCATGAGAGGATGAGCCTGAGAGAGGCCGAGCAGGAGCAGCAGGCTGACAGAGGGACTCATCTTCAGAGTGGGTCTGGTAGCTGTGGAGCTTCTTTGCAGAGCTGCTGTGGAGAGACTCCTCGGAGCTTCGTGTCTGACACAGTTGAGTCGCAGGTCTTTATACTCTCCTCTACAGGTGTGTCTGCAGGAGGATTATGGGCTGGGGTCCACATCGCTGGGCCTGAATAAACCTGAGAAGGGAGGACTGCACAGACAAACCTACTCTTTCAACATGCTGTGTTATGTCAGGGCTGTGGACGGATCAACACAGTTACTTTACTGGGTGGGACTTGTTTAACTACACATTCGAAACTTCTACAACTAAAAAGTCCTCAAATTCTCCATTTGCAACCACCTTTATTTTCACTTTTATTTTGGACAGTCAGAAAATGCATATCTAAAAGTAATCTTTTCTCTTTTCTTCATCTGGCTGCTGTGTTTTTCTTCTCATTGACACAGTTAAAATAGTTTGAATTTGCTGTTCATACCATAAATCATCCCTGTAAAGCCTGAACCTTGAAACAATTCCCAGAAAGAAATAGTTTTGAAAATGGAGAGTTTATTGACATTGTCATATATATATGTATATGTAATATATGTTCTATAAAAATGACTTTATGGAACATGTACGCATTAGAATCACACTACAGACAAAGTGTGAAACTGAAATACAACAAAATGTTATGTTGGTCAGACCAACAATCAAATGGCTGAAAGTACAACTCACTAAAGAAACTTGATGATAACTTCACTCGAGGAAGATTAGTCCAGTTCTCATCTATTTATTTTAGTAAGTAATTATGGATTTGGTTCATTACAAAGGTTTAGTTTTTTTCTGTTAAACTTGGCTTAAATGCATCATTATTGTAATAATTTAAACATTTTTCTCTTGTTTTCAGAGAAGCTCAGGTTTACCTTTTTTTTCTTCAGTCGTTGAGTCTTTCTGTTCTTCCCTCCACGATTTGTCTTCATTAGGAATCAGGTGCTCACATTTATGTGTGTCCCAAAGAGAAAGCGTCTTCTGACGTTGCAGTCATTGATGTACATTACAAACTTTCCACGACACCACCATCAGGCCACATTTAGTCCAAATCATGACATTCTTCCGGTACACTATATGGACAAATATATGTCCTGCTACAGTACCACAGTTTAATTCATTAACTCTTTCGTCCATATAGCACATCTGGCTCAAATGAGAAGCTTGATGCACATAATTTGACCAGTTATCTTCCCCTAGCATTCGGTTAGCATTTACTGAGAAGTTAGCTAATCCCATTAAAACCATCACCAGTAAACCAACATGGGTAATCTAAACTTGGCTAACAGCAAACTTGACAATGTATTTGTAATATTGGAAAAATTAATAAAGAAAAGAAAAGAAATGCTTTTCTGAGAAGAATTTTTTTTATAAACATACACTTTAGGCTGTATAAAGCATGGCTGAGGATTGCTTATCATCCTTGACTGGCTGCCACTTTGAAACCTCAGGATATCCATCCATCCATCCATCCATCCTCATCCGCTTTGTCCGGGGCCGGGTCGCGGGGGCAGCAGCCTAAGCAAAGAGGCCCAGACCTCCCTCTCCCCAGCCACCTCCTCCAGCTTGTCCGGGGGAATACCAAGGCGTTCCCAGGCCAGCCGAGAGATATAATCTCTCCAGCGTGTCCTGGGTCTGCCCCGGGGCCTCCTCCCGGTGGGACATGCCTGGAACACCTCACCCAGGAGGCGCCCAGGGGGCATCCTTGTCAGATGCCCGAACCACCTCAGCTGGCTCCTTTCGATGTGGAGCAGCAGCTGCTCTACTCTGAGCCCCTCCCGGATGGCCGAACTTCTCACCCTATCTCTAAGGGAGAGGCCAGCCACCCTTCGGAGGAAGCTCATTTCCGCCGCTTGTATCCGCGATCTCGTTCTTTCGGTCACTACCCACAGCTCGTGGCCATAGGTGAGGGTAGGGTGCCCGAGGGCGAGCGTCTGGTGGCCGGGCCTTAGTCCATGGGGTCCGGCCGGGCACAGCCCGAAGAGGAGACATGGGCCCATCCTCCTGCAGGCCCACCACCCGCAGGAGGCGCCATAGGGGTCGGGTGCATTGTGTGCCGGGTGGCGGCCAGGAGCGGAGGCCCTGGCGGACTGACCCCCGGCTGCCAAGACTGGCAATAGGGACCTCAGGATATCGCTGTCATAAATGTTTTTGTACCCATATTTGAGAAATGCTCCGTTTGAGCTATAATAAGACTTAAATGAGTGAGTTAGCAAAAAAAATCCCTCCTTATATTTTTGAATCAAGGTAGAAACACTTGGCTTAAATATGTTAATTTCTGAGGTAAAGATTGGCATTTTGAAATGGGGACAGTGGGGAACAGTTTGGACTCGGGTGGAAGACCTGCAGTTTGTGCCACTTTCATTTTTAGCCCCCAGAGTTTTCTGCTTGGTCTGTTCACTAAACATAAAGCTACAGCTAGTAGCTAGCTAGCCCATCATAGCAACTGTAAAACAGTACTTGATCCCATACAAAACAATTTTGTGATTGGTATTCTTTCTTTTTTCTGTAGATTCAACAAAAAACACAGCTAAGCTTGTTGTTTTTGCACTGAGGTAAGCTAACGCTGCACATGGAAGTTTAGCTAATATTTAGCATGTAACTTGCTTATATGGAAATTTTGGCAACATATCAGAAAATGACAAACACTGAAACAGTTGATGTGAAAAAAGTGTGAATCTTTCTTTTTTAATGTGACAATTGTGTTTTTCCCGAGGAGAAGTTTGTGAAAGGAAAAAAGGATAGCAGAAGGGATTTGTAATTTTTTTGTGTTATGAAACAATAAAACCTTTTAAAGTTAAATTTAGGTCGTTAAAAAGGGAGAAACGTTTTAGCAGTTGTGGTTATTCGACTGAAACTTCTGTATTTACCGTGTTTTCCTCAGCTGACATTTCTGAATGTTTTGGCTCTTTAAGAATCACTTCTTGCCTTTCAGTCTGGTTCCTCTCATATATTAAACTTGCGCCAAAGCTAAACACCACAAAGATGAATATCAAATGCTTTATCTTGTTGACTGTCAGTGTATCTGGCTTCTTGTTTAGAGAAAACAGGGCCATCGGGTGGACTGTCTGCCACATAAGGTGTAATCTAAAAAGTGAGCGGTAGTTTGGGTAAATGCCACCCTGGACGTTAGAGATTGAGATTGGAGTCTCTAAGCAATAAAGACAGACACGGATGCAACTAGGGTTTATTACTTTTAATCAATTCAGCTAGCTACAAAATGTCCACCACTTCACACACTGACAGGATACAGAGAGGGAGTCTTTAGTATTACATGCGTTGAGGACATCAATCTCACAGTTTAACCTATTGTGTCATTCAGGTTTAGGTAATTCATCACCTTACTCTAACTACTTGACATTTTGGCGATTTGGTGTGCATAGCTCTAAAGTACAGAAGCAACAAAAAAACCCATTTGTATGTATTTTTTTGTTTCAGAGTATAGTTGTAATTGTTATTTAATATTGTCATTATTCTTACCAATAACAAACCACACGGGGAGAATAAACTTACATATACGGTTTTCTTATAAAAGTAAGGTCTCTCAGAAATATGCGTCTTTGCTTTACATTGCAAACGTTTATTTTTTTCAGAGCATCCAAAACCTATGATACAGTACACAACCAGTCCTCAGCTTTCATCATATAATCAACATCTTCATCACTGAACTGCATAATCATTTAGAAAACAGGTCATTTTTTTGCAATACAACCCAAAGTCCTCAGTTGTTTCAACTTCATCTCACTTTTTTGATCCCTTTTGCATTATTGTACAACGAGATGGTCACAGTCGGTAAATATATCGAGACAGAAAGAGTGGCACTATTGCAAACTTGCAGGAGTATGGAACGATAAACTGTGTCCTAATACCGAGCATGCGTTTTGTCAATTTGCTACTGCCATGTTATCATTTTTTATATATATTTTTTCAGACAGGTTTTATTTATAAGACTAAAATCTACCATTTGTCATGCAGAGAACGCACAATTCACATCACTTGGAATGCAATGTCTAATACAGCTACAGAGAGTCTAGTTGCACATTGTCTAAACAGTAACTCAGTATGATTGCGATGAAGGAAAATGGACCAAGGACTGCCTTTTGATTGTAAGTGCTCTTTGCCGTCCCGCCCAACTGTACCGCCGCTTAGTGACTCGTGTTTGCCATCGATCTTCTCCTGCTGTTTTTGTGACAACACCAAAATAAGGAGCATGACAGTAGCCTATATGTAATGACACAGTTTTACTAAGACGATACTGAGATACCGAAAAGGAAGAAAAAACAAACAGCTTGTACAGCATTCCTATTATATACTTGTCATCCAGAGAAGTGTACTCGTGTGTGTATATATATGTATATATATATGATATGTGAGATATATATATATATATATATATATATATTTGACATAGAGAATAAAAACTTCACAGGTGAGCTAGAGATCCATCAAGTCAGCACTATATACAACCTTTGGAAAGAATGATATACGGAGTATAAGAAATCATCTTTTTACGAGGACAATCATTTTGAAAAAGCTCGACAGACGACACAGAACAACATTTACAATGGGCGGGGAGGTGATATGTGCATGTGTGCAAACCTAGAAGGTCAATACCATGATGAAAGCATGTCAGCGCCTATCGATGCGTGGCGCGGGACGCCGGGACGTTCACGCTCCGGACTCCGGGCGTTTAGCCACTGCCCAGCATCTTTGTGGCGCGCTGGTTGGCCTCATCGATCCTGGTCTTGTTGGAGTCGGCCTGTGAGAGAGGAAAAGGTAATGAGAGGGCTTTGTTGATTGATTCCACAGATCTGTATTTTGGTGTTTTATCTTTAGTACCCGGTTAGATAGATTTCATTGTACTTTTGGTGTGGTAGAGCTTTGAATTTAGAGATGGAGCTTTTTAAAAAGACTCTATTATACAAAGAGACCATTAAATATAGAAATGCTTAAGAAAATAAAAGGTAAGACAACTTTTCTTTGCTGTTTCTACATTTTATCTCTGACCTGATTTTAATGACTGTCATTCCTTTATGTCTTAGACTTAAGAGTTGCACAGTTCTGCGTCAAAGGCATTAAG